CTCACTTAGGGTTTCTAACCTTCTTAAAATTAATTAACCTATACCAAATGGATTAAATCCTATACCTTCCCACACTAGTGGGTCCCACATCCGATATACGTTCTTAATTTCTCAAAAACTAACCAATACTAGAAAAATCATCTAAGAACTATATTTACTCATAAATTAGGGTTTTCTTCTTAGCCCTAACCCTAATATCAACTTATGAACGGTCTGGGTCCTCACACTCCCCCTGACCTAGGAACCGGATCAATGGACCCATCCAGGTATCTCCCGGATAAACAGCGTACACCATTCCTTCGAGATAGCCAGGTTCAGTCAAGATCTCGACCAAGACTGTCTTATTCAAAGTTGAAAAAGAAGTGGAAGCCAGGCGAGACCGCTCGGCTTGTTTGTTCTGTGACTGGGGTATTCTTTGGATTTCAAAAGACTCGAAATATGCAATGGGTTGGTGGATTTTAGAGAGGTAGCATTACATCACCTCCTCTCTGGCTTCATACTCACCCAGTATTTGACAAAGAACGAGTTAGGAGTCACTGTTCACCAATATATGCCGAGCATCTAGCTTCCGTGCTAGCTGTAATCTGGCGATGACTACTTCGTACTCGGTTTCATTGTTGGAGGTGACAAAGTCGAACCGAAGGGTATATGAACACAGCTCCCTTGCGGGTCTTCGAGGAGCAAACCTGCTCCACTACCCTCGCTATTAGATGAGCCGTCTACATGTAAGATCCATTGCCGAGGCTCAACGGAATCCGAAGTCACATCTTTTTTTTCACCAAAAGTGAACTCGGCTAAGAAGTCCGCGAGAACCTGTGCTTTGATAGCTTTCCGAGACTCGTAAGATAGGTCATACTCCCCTAACTGAACGGCCCACTTGGTAAGTCGTCCGGATGCTTTAGGGCGCGATAAAATCTGCCGAAGAGGCTAATCCGTCCTCAGGCACACGTGATGAGCTAGAAAATAAGGTTTCAACCTGCGTGCCGCATGAATTAGGGCTAGCACAAGCTTCTCGGCTTGGGCATATCTGGTCTCGGATCCTCGAAGAACCCGACTAACATAATAAATAGGCATCTGTACACCCTTCTCTTGTATCAGTACAGCATTCACTGCTTCATCAGTGACGGACAAGCACAAGAACAACTTGTCCCCGGGCTGAGGTGAAGTGAGAGTAGGAGATGATGTAAGAACTGCTTCATTTGTTCAAAGGCCTGCTAGCATTCTTCTGTCCAGAAAAACTTATCAGCCTTTTTCAGGACTTTGAAAAATGGCAGTGCCTTAGATGCTAACTAGGACAAGAATCTGTTCAAGGCCGCCAATCGTCCGTAAGTCATTGCATATCTTGTGTACACCGAGGTGAAGACATCTCCTGAATTGCCTTTATCTTGTCAGGATTTACTTCTATGCTCCGGCGTGACATGAGGTACCCCAAGAATTTTCCCGAGATTACTCCGAATACGCACTTCTTAGGGTTTAGCATCATTCGCGTGTCACGGAGGACTCCAAGGACCTCTCTTACGTCGAATAGGAAAGCTGAGGTCTCCTTGCTCTTTAAAAGAATATCATCAACATACGTCTCGACATTTCAGCCAATCTGAGATTTGAAAACCTGGTTGATCAACTTCTGATATGTTGCTCCGGCATTCTTCAGGCCGAAAGGCATGGTTGTGTAACAGTAGACTCCTTGATCTGCGAAGAAAGCCGTCTTCTCTTGGTTCTCTTCATTCATCCCTATATGGTGGCAACCTTTAAAGACATCCAGGAAGCAGAGGACCTCATACCCCATTGCCGAGTCCACCAAGGTGTCTATTTTCGGCAGTGGGTAATAATCTTTTGGACAGGCCTTATTCAGATCTGTAAAGTCCACACACATTTTTCACCCTCCGGCATATTTTGTCAGGGTGAGATCAACTCTTCTTGGGTTTGGAATGTCTACACAAACGAGAGAATCAAAAACTTTCTCTAGCTAGCTACTCAAAACAAAGACGAAACATCACTCAAGATGGCTCGTGTCAGGTCTGTCCTGTAATAGGGGAAAAAACACAGCATATTTTGTGTTTTTGCCTTACTGCACCCTCTACTTGGCATCAATTAATGATTCCTAATTGTCCTTCCTTCGTAAAGGGATTTAATTCTCAACTTTGGCTGAAGACTAGTTGTTTAAATAAGTCTCTTCCACCCTTCTTCAAACTTTCTTGGAGATCTGTTATGTCCTTTGACTGTTGGTTTCTATGAAACAATAGAACAAGAGGATATTTGAAGGTCAAAGCAACCCTCATTAATATATATAGTCTATGTGTGAATGCCATTCTCTTCAATTGAGTTCAATTGCTGAGGTGACGCGCTGCGATTGGTCGATTGGTGGCAGTCCTCCAATTGATTCCAATTTGATGAGTTGTCGTTCTCTGATTCGTCGATTAGTGGTAGTCCTCTCAATTGTTTATGAAAATGGTGATGTGGTGAGTTTTGATTGGATGGGAGGTGGTAGTCCTCTAATTGTATGTGGGATTGTGTTAAAATTTGGCCTCTTTTTTTTTTAACAATAAATCATGTTAACAACAAATTGGGCTCTCTTTTTTTTTTGTTGTCCAACAAATCCTGTTTAGCTACCAAAATTTCGCAATTAATCGTTATTAATAATAATGTCATTTTTTTCACCTAACAAATCGTGTTTAATTATCGATTTTTTGCTATTAATTGATTTTTTTGCCCAACAAATCATATTAACAAAATTTTTGGCTCCTTTTTTTGTTGTCCAACAAATCATGTCTAATTACCAATTTTTTGTAATTAATTGTTAATAACTAATTAATAACATCATGTTTTTGGTCGCTCAACAAATCGTGTTTAATTAACAATTTTTTTGCAATTATTAGCAAAAAATTGACTTCTTTTTTGTGGTTGCCCAAAAAATCACATTTAATTATCAAATTTTTTTCAAATGTTATTAAAAAATGTCCTCGCTTATTTTGGATTGTCCAACAAATCACATTTAACTATCAATTTTTTTTTGCAATTACTTGTTAATTAATTAATTAATTAATAATTTCACTTTTTTATTGCCTAACAAATCATATTTAATTACCATTTTTTGCAATTAAAATACTTTTTTTTGGTTGCCAAATGAACCACATCTAATTACCAAACTTTTGCAATCAATTGTTGGATTTTTAGGCATGCAATTGCCTAACAAGTAATTTTAATTACCATTTCTTCTATATTAACCATATAGATAAAGAGGGAAAGCCCCCTGCCACCTAGGATGGTCGTCCGCCCATGTGCCAACTGGAGATTGGCTGGAGGTGATATGGCACTTGGTTGTCCTCCCTCTTGTATTTGTTTGAGGGCTTTTCTTCTTCTTTCCCCCGATAAACCAAAGGACGTCGTCTGTTCCTTCTTCTTTTTTTCTGTCTTTCAAAACGTAGCAGCATCAATCAATGTCAAGAGCTCTTGAAGACTGGTTCCTATACAAAACTCCATTTTGTCCTCTAGACAAAACTCCATTTTTTCCATGAGACCCAGAAGTCTCCCCTCAATTTCCGGCATTTGATTGTACTTGGGAGAGATTGTAATCTCGATTGGAGGGTCCATATTTTTTTCTTCTTCTGAGGAGTGGGTGCTTAGAATTTGATGGACTATGGGCTCGAGATAGAAAATGGTTGGTAATCTTCTTCCCCTTCCACTCCCGGTTCTCTCTCTTGTTCTTCTTCATCTTCCTCCCTCCCTCGAGTCTCTTTATGGGTCTCTTTTTTTGTTTGGCTACTCACAAATTTTATTTTCTCCCCTTTATTTTCCCTTTTTTTTATGCATAGTTTCTTCCCTTTTTGTTGCCGTGACTTTCCTGTAATTTTTTTTGGGGTAACTCAAAAAATCTTCAACAGCCTCTAAGAAGAGGAAATATAAGGGTTTTGTGTTGAAGTTTTTCTTTTGGGTTCCATTTGGTTTGTTTCTCATCATTTCATCCTATGCTGGTTTCTTTTTGCTCCTACTTGCTTGCTGTGTTTGCTGGTGATTTCAGACCCCAACAGCCTGAGAATAGGAGAGTTTTGCAGCGATTTCTCGAAAATTACTAGGCTCAGGGATATGGTTGACGAAGAAGAGGATGAAAAAGAGAGATTGAAGAAGGCCTGAAATTCTAGGGCTTGTAGCGGCCAAAACTTGATAGGCATGTGGATTCCTAAAGCGCCTAATAATTTTTTCCCCACAATTCGAGAAAATTTTATACTATGATGGCTCTAAAAATACAGAGTTTTCAATCTGAATCTATCAATTTTTTGTGCTCGCCCAGATTCTTCTCTCTCTCTCTCTCTCTCTCTCTGTATATATGGGTCTCTGTTGGTAATCAGTTTTTCCATCGCTGCCTTCTAGACCTGGTGATGAGATCTTCTCTGAAGGTTCTTTTTTATTTTTATTTGTTTTGATAATTTTTCCTTTTCTTGAAATTTCTTTAATTTTTTATTGGTTATATTTTGATTTTTTTGTGGTTCGATTTTTAAATCTCAAATATCAAAAGTGCTTTACCCCATATTTTTATGACCATGGATCCTTTTAGTTTTAGTTTATCCTTACAATCATTAATGATCTAAGATTTTAGTTCCGAGGACTTGGACCATGGAGGGGTTTTGTCTTAGCTGTTTGGCATTCTCCATTTTCTTTCTCACCATGTAAATGGTCTCTCACTTTCTTAAACTTTGACTCTTTCAATGATGACCTGCACTTTCTTTGCAAAGTGACCTGTTGAATGCTCTGGATTACTATCATGGAAATAAAATTTGCTGGTAATTTCTATTTATTTCATATATACTGAAGGCTCATCTTATTTATTTTTTTGCTTACCCCCTCCCCCCTCTTCTTTTCTATGTTAATGAAAGTGTGACAATATGTAGGCTAGCCTTGTGGTTGTCTCCCTTTATTTTCCATGCAGGAAGTTCTGTCTATCCGCCCCTAATTTGATATCTCACCCCAGGAATGTGCATGGCGCTTCAAGCATTTTTATCTCTTGAATCACAGGGCTACCTAAATGTTTTGACCGGGTTTGTCTTCATTTAATTTGCTCATTTTTTTGTCTTGGGACTCAGCTTCTATTGCAATAGGGTGGAAAGGCTTATAGAATTGGGGGAAGGGCTTGTGCTCATGATGGCATGACAACAAATGATTGGGGAAACCCATGAATGCTGTCTTTATCATTGGATATTTCCTGATGAGTGTGGTTCAGGTTTCCTTAAAGAATGATTTAACTGGTTGAAGCTGCTCCCACCTCTGTCGCTCATCTTAACTGATAAAAATCACCCAAACTTTTTTTGCATTCAGGTTACTACTCCTTACCAAAAATCTTAGCTTTTAGATATGAAGCAAGGTCACCATATGAACAAGAAACTTTTGGTCAAAGCTTCATGGTTTTTTTTTTTGAAAAAAGACACATAAAGTACGGCCCCTTTATTGATATATAACATCCAGCCTTTTCTTTGTCATCCTTTGGTCTTGGAATTATGATTCTTGTCACAAAAATGGTACAATTGACAACCTTTTTCCCCCTAAAAAACCATGTCTCTATGACTGTTTGCTGCATTTTATCTGATTAAACGGCTTTATTATTTTTTGTGTTGCTGTGATTGGTAGATGCTTGATGTCACTGGAACAGTTGCTTAGAGTCTGCATAGAGCAGATGTACCTTACATCTAATTGAAATTCTTGAACTATCAAATGAAGTTTATTGACTCCCTTTATATTTTCAATATTTTAGATATGAGGATGGTTCCATGGCTTGGTGGGATGTAAGGAATCCAGGGGTTCCAATGAATTCTGTTAAGTTTCATAAAGAACCAGGTATAGTGGTGCTGGCTCCATATACATCATGTTATTTGTTGATTGCAACTTCTCTCTCCCCAAGAAACCTAACAAAAAAAAAATTGAGATCTCGTTCCTTTTTTGCAGTTTTGAGCCTTTGTATTGATGCGGCATGCAGTGGTGGTATCTCTGGAGCTGTTGATGAAAAACTTGTGTTTTTCTCTTTGGATTATCAATTGGTGAATTCAGGCTTGATAAATTCTTATCCCTAGCATGTCAAGTGACTTTATTGCATGGCATTTTTACACTTTCAGCTAACAGGATGTGGCATGCTGCTGTTAGTCATTGCTGTCTTTGCCTTGCAAAAAAGAAATATAAGAGAAGATAAAAACATCATGTGCCATTTGTTGGCAGCTCCTCTATGGTGTTTTCATTTCTTGTTCTTGAAGTAAATTTGATGCTAATATACCTCAATCCAGCAATCTTTTCTTTTGCAATTGATGACTATTTAACATCAGAAGGTGCCTATTTTGAACTTTAATTTTCTTAGTGTGAGGGTTACTGTTTTCCTTAATTTTGCATTCTTGACTTCCAAGTGGTCTCATAATAGTCTCCTCCTCGTCTGGCAAATGCCAAGTGATCACGAGATGTTATGCTCGTTTGTAATGTGTTAGATGCACCTTACTTAAAAACAAGTTCAGAACTTTCTGGTTTGCACCTTTGAAGGATTTAAATTGCAGTTGGTCTAAAAATGATGATTGAATTGTAGTTTGAACTTGAGCTGCATGTGATAGGCATCATTGACATGCAATATTTCTTTGAGCAGCGGCCAGCGGGCAGGAGGAAGAGACTTTTGGTCATTTTTAATGTCTTGAATTTCAAATTTCTAAGTTATTCATCTTTCTACTGGCTTGCGATATAGGGATCAGCACTGGTCAAGAAAGAAATTACATTGGAGCGACCTGGAATAGCAGGAACATCAATCCGGCCAGATGGCAAAATTGATGCATTTGCTGGCTGGGATCACCGGTTAGTCACTCTTGGACTTTTTTTGTGAGCCGTCCTGTTCAGAAAAATCATCTTTATTTTTTTCATATGGTAGCTCATCAGTAATTCATGTAATTTTTGTGAATATTAACATATATATTTGTGATATCAATTCAATTGTGAATATTAACATCAATGTTGGGCCATTGAAATTATAATTTTACCCTTATTGCTCCCCAAATTTTACAAATTCTATTATAAAGGATCTTTCTTTTGAATGCCCTGTGAGTGTAAAATAGATTCCACCGTACCTGTACAAGCCTGACAAAGAACAATTTTCTGCTCCGTTTTTGATTGAGAAGCCTGTTGAAATTTTGTTCGTACAATAAGCGGACGAACGTCCATGTATTGCTCGTCGGATCTTGGAGATTTCTATATTATGATTGCTGGTATTTGTGCTGCTATTGCTTTTCGCTTTTTGCTCTTTTGTTATTGGTTTGTTGTTTTTCCACCAGTTATCCAGTCAGACTGCAGAAGAACAGAGCAGGTATCTCCAAGAAAAACTTCTCCCCCATCTTCTTCTTCATAGGTTTTTCTTCCTCTTGATCATCCGCATCTTCGTTCCCCGCCTTTTTTTCATTTTTTTTTTGTGCAAATGTTGATTTAACAAACAAGATTGCTTCCACCTATTATTCTATGGATCTTGATCTTTTTGGGAACTTTCATATTAACGTATGCTTGAACTATTATACACTTTGCAAGGATGAAACCAATAAAAAGCAAATGAAGTTCAAAGGAGTTATCTGAGGTGAAAATTTCCTTCTTTTTTTTCCATGTTGTGCCTAATTTCCATTTTTTCCTTTCTCAGCTATATATGAAATTTATTTTTTTGTGCTGACAGCTGCCACCGAGATGAAAAGGGGAAATAATTGCTAAGAGAGCCTTTAGGTAGATTTTGCTTTTCTTTATATGTTAATTTCTTTTTAGATCAGTTTTTATTCTTTTGATTTTATCTGGTAGTTATTGAATATTTTCTTTCTTTTTTTTCAGGTTTTTTGGTTGTACAAGCGCTTGCTTCATGGTAACTGGTAAGTATACAGAGGAATTAGTGTCTTCTATTTATTTTCTTCCTTTCCGTTTCTTTCTTGACTACTCACACCGTTGTTTAGAGTGGTTTTTTGAAATGTCATTTTCTCATATCTTGCCTAATGGAGTTTTTCTTTGATGTCTGAGGTTTTGTGTGGTTAGAAATTTAGGATCTGATACGTACATAATTGTTTATCTCCATAGTGCTCAAAGGTCCATGTGTTTTAGTGATTACTAAGGTTCCAAGAATTTGATATTTTTCTCCCTTTTTTCTGCTTTTGGAGTTTAGTTGTTTAAGTATTTGTCTCGTTCACATTGCTAATTCGCTATTGTCCTCTAAAAAAAAAAATTCACAGTAGCCAAGAGGTATCCCCTCGAATTCTGGTTTTGGGCTTTGGATTGTAGAGTGTTACCCGTCATCTAATGCTGAATATGTTGCATGTATGGTCTTAGTTTCTGTACTTAGTGATGTGCCTGCTGAATTTGTAGTTTCCAAAGCTGTATCATGTAAGTTGTAAGCTTGTTTAAATTGATTTAATAGCTCTATTCTTCTCACAAGTCACTGGAATTATAAGCATTAAGAATAACTTTAGCATGAGGCAATTGGTGCATGCATGGATGATTTCCTATTTCAGTTTTGTCTTTGTGTTCCCATACTAATGGTGCTGTTATATTCATCATCATTGGCTTTTTTTTTTTTGCTCTGCAGGTTCTGCTCTTGGTTCGGTGAATTTCTAGGTACTTTTCCTGTAGGTCCTGTAGTTAGTTTTTTTTAACCCTTTCTTTTTTTTTTTGGGTGTTTTTGTACTAATGATACAGCTTAGTTGATACACATAGTTTTCACAGTAAATGCTAGAAGTACTGAAAATATCTATCTCATTCCACTAAAACTACACAACATTTGCCTGGTGGTTAACTTTCTCAGCCACCAGATCTACGCATGACTTTTAAAAGGAAAGCATTAGCATTAGCTCACTTTGCAATAGTACTTCAGTTCTTTAGTCTTGATTGTTCCCTTCTAATAGACTCCAGGAATCACCAAAAGCTGAATTCACTCAAGGTCATTGTTTCATCCTTTTTTTTTAAGGTCTTTTCATCTTTCTATCTATAGAGTCCTTTAAGTTCTTTAAGATAACAATGGTCAAAGTTAAAATGAACTACAAATGATAGAGAAACTAGGATATTTAAGCACTCAGAGGCACCACCTATTTCTTTATATCTGACTTTTTCCTCTTCTTCTTATGCTTCTTTGACACAGAGATCTTAACCTTCTCTTCAGCTAACTCCTATCCATGTGTACAAGAAGTTAGGAAGCTGATTCTAGCAGTGATAAAATTCAATTTTCCTGGCATGTTCTTTATGGGAAATCACTTGTGTGAATGCAACTATAGATTACCTCATAATCACCAAAAGAATCAGCTCTTCAAAGCACAAAGCCATCTGCTGCAGGTTGGCCTAAACTTTCTTATGTTGACATCTCACAAAATACATTTTTAATAGAACAAACAAGTTGTCCTAGCATTTTCCATGTATTCGTTCATTCGTTTTCAATGCACTCTCTGAGGCATGCTAAATAACTCGATCTCACATTTTTAGTATACTATCTAACTCCCTCTGAAGCAGACTTCAAGATTAACTAGATAACCAAACAGATAGAAAGCATCCCTGGTTCATTATACTGCAATCGCTTCTTCCTTGAATGAGTAGTGTATTTCCTAGCACTTACTAAGAAAGACTTCTAAATGAACTCCACAAGTAAATGGATGAAGCATATCTTTGCCTCACATAGAGAACTAGCAAGAAAGGTAATGAGCTGCTAGAGAATGGTTGTCCTCGTAGGTGGCGCTCACATGACTTCTTAAGTTCTTATGTTCCAATTTGACATTATATTTTCTTTTGCGAGAAAATAGTTGTCCTTTGCTTTAGGAAGTGTGATGCATGTCTTTATCTCTATCTTTAACAGTACACTTAGAATCCTTTATCATACGGTCTACTATGAGAGATAGGTAACCAACTATTTCACACTTTTGGCTTTGTTTTCTTAGTTTTGTATGAATAAGTTTGATTATGCCTACAATTTGCTGCTTACTTTAGTAAGATGTTTGGCGTGCTAAGTAAATAAGTTTCTTAATCATTGACTTTAAAAATTTGGTTGCTGAAATAAGCACAAAAATCAGGATGAGAAAATTTCAATGCAGATTTAATAGAAATTAGGGAACTTAAGTGGTGTGCCACTTTTGTTGTTTCATTAGAGCACAAGGACTTGACAATTTAGAAAGTGGTTTAACTAATTAAATGGCTGAAATGGTTTAAAAAAATGTCTTTTTCAGAAAGGTGAAACATATTTAAATTGTAACACTAAACAAGTTGTCATTTTCTTTTTTATTGATTTTTTTTATACAGTATATATTATACAAAAAATTTATTTGTCTCTCTTCTTTTCTCGAATTCAAGTAAGAACTTATATACAACTCATAAGTAATGACAAAAGGGTGCAGAATATTGGCTGATTAATATCTTGTGTTATTCTTGGTTTTGATGATCACAAAGTACTTTGAAATGTTTATCTAACTCTCTTCAAATACAAGTGTTTTTTGCCTATCAAAGAATCAGGTACGAATATGTCAAGAAATGAAAATCAACCAAAAGAAGAAGCAAAAACAGGACACTCATGTCGGACGTCCGAAGGAATCTGTCGGACGTCCGAAAGGATGAAGAACATTAAGAAGAAGATTCTGTCGGACGCTCGTGAGGAAGCATCGGACGTCCGGATGGATCGGACGTACTCCTCGGACGCACATCGAACGTGTCGGACGTCCTAAAAATTCCACAAAGTGTTGATGACTCTCTGCCAAGATTCTGTCGGACGCTCGTGAGGAAGCATCGGACGTCCGGATGGATCGGACGCACTCCTCGGACGCACATCGATCGCATCGGACGTCCTAAAAATTCCACGAAGCTTTGGTAACTCTCTGGACGACGTTCGGACACAGAAGCTCGGACGATAAAATCCCATCGGACGTCCGAACAACAACTTGACTGTTTTTCGGACGATGGGATCGGACGATGGGATCGGACGATGACTAATCTTTCGGACG